CTGTGTGTATGAGTCAAAAGCACCGACCCCTTACACACGTCAGCACGCTACCTGACACAGTAGGAAACCTAATTCCAGTGTTCTGGGAGCGCAGGATGCCTGAGGGCGCTCCAGGAAGAGCAGACAGGGGAGGCCATGGGGGTGGGAGTGCTCATCTGGCCTGGCCACCTGGCACAGCATTTTCGCTATCTGGGCCTTTGGTTTCTTTTGTTTGTGACATGAAGGAAACAGAATGAAAGCCCCTAAGAAGCCTCAGAGCGGCGCCTCTGGATTCTGAGACTATCAGCACCGAGTGATTCACAGTCAACTGGCTGTGTTCGCACACAGGGCCCTTGCCCACCACCCTGACCGGGACTTCCTCAAGAGCCTGCTAAAGGGTCTCCCCGAGCCCTGCTCTTCGCCCGCCAGTTCCTCTTCCTCTGCCGCCTTCCATCCTCTACACTCAAAATCAGAGTGCCTCGCCGGTCACCCAACCACCATCCCGAGCTCTCAATCTTCACTGTAAGTGGGTCCAACCTCCTCAACAAGGAAGAGGGACAGAGAGTCAGTGGGAGACAGACTTAAAGACGATACCAAGTCACACAACGAGTGAGGGCAGAGGAGGGTCTGGGCCTCCAATGTCGATACTATCCCGCTTTCACTACAGATCCGGGACCCAAGCTGGAAGGGCCTGTTACGGTTCGGGGACCTGATAAAGTTATGTCATTAATGAAACCGAACCCTTCCGAGGACCACAGACCCATCGATGACATCACAGATGGAGGCGCAGTGTCACGCCTTCCTTTCAACCTCTTCACATCTTCATCTGGACTTAGTGACACGGAGGGGGCACGGCCTGGCAGCGCCGCTGGGGCTGGCTACCACGGCACCACGCTCCCCGAGCATGCACACACCTGTTTGGGAGGAAGCGTGTCCTGAGAGACAGGGTCAAGAGTCATAAACTTCTTCTCCCTGACGATGCTGAGGACATCGTAGAGCACGCACGTCTCTGTCAGGGCGCTCCTCAGGCTGTTCCTCACCGAGTCCCACGGCCAGAGGGAAGGCTGGAATTTCACCAGCCCTAAGGAAAAAGGGCAAACACACACAAGTATCAGCAACGTCGGACAGAAGGCGGAAAGGTCATCAAATGTTCAAACGCTCTGAAGAAATAACTCCTCCTTCAAACACTCCCAGGTTCACCTCACCCCTCCGCTGCCGGGTCTCCGCAGCCAGTCAGCTCCCTGCAGTGGCAGAACAAGTCTGGAGCCTGACTTCCACAGAGTAAAGCTAACTTGACAACATGGGAGGTAGAGGACCCTTCTGGATAATCTCTTATTTTGATTTGCTCCCCGCAGAGCTCACGCCAGACACACACGTCCACATGGAGACCTATTTCAGCCTCTTCACTCCGCATGACTCTGCCGTGCAGCAAGTGTAAGTGGCCTATTTAAGGGACAAGCAGGTGGCCCTCCATGCCAGGCGAGCCCAGCACCTCCACACATCTGCACACGGTACGGCTTCGCCTGTAGGTCATGCTCATAGCCATGATGTTAGTGGTTCCAAGGACACACGCATTTAACATATCTGAGGAGTCCTCGACTGCCAAGCTGTCTCCCAACAGGCTCTACAAACTGATACTCCCAATGCAGGCGAGTAACAAGCCTGTAAATTCATGCTACTCTTCGGCATGAAAACAGCATCTTAATGTTTTCACTTGCCTCTCCCTAGAGCTTCGCTCCGTGAGCTGCCTGTTTATCTTGGGCCTATTTCTCCCGAGTTGTCTCTTTTTGGTTTGAAGGGGCCCCTCAGGGAGCTCTGCGACTTGATGGCGTCTTTCGCCACTATTTTAGATTCTGTCATTGTTGTGCCTTTTCCCTCCTGACTTGTATTCCCAGCTGGTCTCGCCTCCTCCCGAAGTCACAGTCTACCTTGCTGCGTTCCGTGTTCTCCTCTTGCACTGCGGTCCTGAAGGAAACGCAGCTTGGGGGAGGCAGGAGGCTTCCCAAATGGATGCCAATGCCGAGCCACCTCTGCATCCCTGCTGGCTACTGACAACGGCGCCCCCAAGGCCCTCCTCCCGCCCCGCCAGTCTGCCATCCCGGTCCCCCCGAAACAAAGGGCCTGGGCTGCTCAACCCCCGGGAAGCCCCAGGCGTCCCGGCGGCGGCCCGAGCGCGCCGGCCCCGGCCCTCCGCCCCCGCCCCGGCCCCGGCCCCGCTCACCCTCGTCGTCGTCGGGGTCGGCGCCCGCCCAGTCCTGCGCGTCGCCCTCGGCGCCCGCCGCCTCCTCCTCCTCGGAGCCCGAGCCCTGGCTGAAGTCGATGCGCTGCGCCAGGCGCGCCAGGTTCTGCGACATGGACAGCGGCTGCAGGTAGGTCTCGGTGCCGTCCAGCCCCACCTCCTGCACCTGCTTCTCGCAGGCCGACTCGATGCTGATGCGCACGGCGCGCACCCCGACATGCTGGCGGCGGGGCCCGGGGGCGGCGGCCGGGGCGACGCGGGCCGGAAGCGGGCCGGGCGCGGGGGCTCACGGGACGGCGCGCCGACTTCCGGGGAGGGCCCGACTTCCGGCGCAGTCGGGGCTCGTGGACGCACTTCCGGGGGCGCGGCGTGCGCCTCGCGGCGGAGGGGAGCCCGGGGCGCGTGGGCGAGGGGCGGGGCGGCGCCGAGACGGGGGCGGGGCCGCGGGGCGGGGCCGGGGACAGGACGGGGCGGGGCGTCGCCGACGGGCGCGGGGGCGGGGCGGGGCGGGGCGGGGCGGGCGCAGCTCGGGCCGGCCCCCGGGAGAACGGGGAGAACGGGCGACTCGGCGGCCCGAGGCCTCGCTGCGGGGCGCGCGCTGGGACCGCGGGTCCTCGCCCGGCGCTTGGGCGGCCGCGGCCGTCGTGGGGCCTGCGGGGGGCGCCGGGGGTCCTGGCCGGGGTCACGCGGCGCCGCCCCGCGTCCCCGACACCCCCGGGGCCGCCCCGCCTCCTCGCCCCCCCGGCGCTGCGCGGGCCCGCGGCGCGCTCCGGCCGTCGGCGGGCGCTGACCCGGATGCCGCAGGCCGCCCCCGCGCGTCGCCCGCCGGCCCGGCTGTTCTCGCGGCCGGGCCAGACCCCAGCCGGGGAGCGGGCGGCCGGCCCGGGGCGGCGGAGGCGGGAGCTCCCGGAGGAGGGCGCCGGGCGCGGCCCACGCCGGGGAGGGGGCGGCCCGGGGCGGGGCGGGGCGGCGGCGGCCGCGCGGAGACGCGGCCCTCCCGGGACGGTCCGTCTGCAGCAGGACGGGCGCGCGCGGGGGGCAGGGCCCCGGGGGGAGACGGCCCGGGGCGGAGGCGCCCGCTGCCGGCACACGCCGGACACCGTGCGGGGAAGGCCGGGGGTGCGGGCGCCGCCCCAGCCCCGTGAGCACGCGGGAGGAGGAGGGGCTGGGGGAGGAGCCCGTCCAGGTCCCCGGGGCCCTTCCCGTCTTTCTCTCGGGGTTGGGCGGCGGCCGCGCTAGGGCCTCGCCGGAGCGCGGCGCGGGCCCGGGCGGGAGAGAAAACGCGGGCGAGAAAGTGGCGACTCTCAGGCCGGGGCGGGGCTCCCGGGGCCGGTGCCCTGGCCAGAAGGCCCCGCGGCCCCGCTGCCGCTCCAGGCCCGGGAGGAGACAGAAGGGAAGAGAAAACCAGGGCCCTCAGCAGCCGGCGGCCCCCGCTCCTCCACCCGCTGCCGTGCGCAGCCTTCGGGGGCGTCCCGGGGGCGCCTCCCGGGTCTGGTTCCATGAGGCGCCCCGGCTTTCAGTCAGGCTGATGGTGAGAAGAGGTGCTGCTGCCGTGGGATTTCATGAGGCTGCCCCAGTGCTGCTGCTTTCCCTAAAGGTTGTGTCTGATTTTTGTTTGAAATACCGCCGTGTCGTCCGGATGACCGGTCACCGAAATCTTTCCGTTTTTCGTTTTCACCGTCTGCTGCTGGTGTAGAGAAGCAGCTCACTGCCGTGCGTTGCCTTTTGTACTTGGGACCCTCTCTGAACGCCGCCCAATAAAATGTCGCCACAGACTTTCTAAGAGGTCAGCCATGTTTCCTGCTGGAAAGAAATTATTTTTTCCCCTCTTTTCAATCTGTTTCCCCTGCTAGATCCGCCATCAGTTAGTGATATGGGCAGTCTGCCACACGCCTGCTTTTTTTTTTAAAGATTGATTTACTTATGCGCACAAGAGCTGGGGTACAGGCCAGAGGCGCAGGAGGGTGAGAGGATTCACCAGAGACAGAGCGGGGAGCAGAACAGGCAGACGGACGAAATACACTGCTGAGGGGAGCAGCGGGGAGACAGGAGGGGTCTGCTGCACCGTGTGGGTCACCTCCCTGGCCGGGGATGGAACCCGCGCTGCAGAGGCTGTGGACAGCTTCCCAGCGCTGTGCTTAGCCCCTGCGCCCCTGGGGAGGCCTAACACACCTACTTTTAAAGCGAGACACACACAACTGTAAAAACTGCTTCTCAGGCCACTGTGTCAGCTCAGCCAGGCGATCCTGTTTGTTCACAGCGGCCTCCCTGCTGTTTCTGGAACACACCAAGTCCCCTCCTGCCTTGGGACCCGTGAATTTGCCCTCTGAGGCTGTTTCTCCACCAACTTCCTGCCTCGTTTCTTTCAGGTCTTGGCGCAAATGCCTCTTTGGCAGAGGCTTCCCCTAACCTTCCTGTGCAAAACAGGCAAAGGAGTTCAATCAGCTTCTGAGGCTGAACTGCTGGTAACTTCTAAACCTCACCCTCTCCCCTTCGGCCTGCGTTGGAGCAAGCTGGTGAAGAGGTTGGCTGCTCCTTTCTTGGGAACTTGTGGGGAGATTCACACTCAGCAGAGCAGCTCCGCACCCCACCCCAGGCTGCTGCTTCCCTGTTCCCCCAGCTGTGTGCCCACCTGCCTGGGAAGCACCTGCTCCCTGGGAAGTCTCGCGCCATGAGGAGCCTGCTCCCTGTGGGGTGCATGCACCTCAGCAGTCTTGCCACCTGCACCAGGTTTGGGGGCAGGGTGCGTCCTGACTCAGCATGGGTGGCCATGCCGGAGCACGTCCTGCACACCCAACACGTATGCATGCTCTTGCTCTTCCCCCCAGCGTCTGTGGGCATGGGGGCAGCACTACCCACCCCCCCTCATCAGCCCACACGCACTGGGCTGAGCTCCTGGGAGCACCGCCGTGTCCTGGCAGAGCCGGCAGGCAGGTGTTCGGAAGGTGTTCATTACATGAGCGAATACTATCTTTGGAGGTAAAACACCAACGAAATTAATGCATTATGAATACTAAATTTTATTTTAAGATATTTAGGAATTTATGTTTATGGGACACATTAGAATGTCCAAAGAAGACAATCAAAAAATACCATGGGCTTCATGCACCAGAGCTCCTCGGCCGCCGTGGGCATCAGCAAGAGGAGACGGCTGGTTTCTGGTTAATGATTATTATAGGAGAATATCAAAGGATTTTCAGCCATCCAAGAACATCATTTCACGCCCTGCCCTGGCCAGCGGTCCCATTCACCAGCAGCCCCGCCAACAAGTTTAAGTGCCCTCAGCTCAGCTGGTGTGTGACACTGTTTCTTTTCCCTTCTCTCCATGCAAATAAGCAGCAGGTCACAAGCCACTTCCCAAACCGACACTCCAGCGTGACCATCCAGCCAAGAGAGGGACCCGGCCTGCGGTCAAGCTCCGGTGTCTGTGAAAGGCAAGCCGGGGACTTCTGTGTCCTCAGTGCCACCAACGTGACACCCCCCCGCTCCCCGACCGCCGGACCCCACGAGTGGGGATTTATAAAGTGGATTTTAAAAATTCATGAAAGATTCAACAACTATCAAATTTCCAACATTATTTCTTCTAACTTCCAGAAACATCCGCTTAGCAGTTGTGAGGCTCATTTGAGAAAGTTAACGTCACACACGTGACTTGACACTATCGGGTGGTGGGAACAGTTGCGTGACTCCCGATCACGCTTACGTATAAAGCAAAAATACTGATTTTGTTACCGAATAGACAGAAGACGATCAATGTCTCCATTACGAATCTTGGGCCCAATTACCTCTACGGTAGCTCTACAGGGACCAGCCGGGCCCTGGCAACGCCCAAAAGGGGTCTGGGCAGTGAGAGCATTTCTGCTGGCTCTTACACTCGCGGGGAGGATGAGCTCGCCAGGCGGCTCCTGGGACCTGCCCCCCACCCCCGGCCCCCTGGCGCACGAGCACCCCCTAGTCTCGCCCAAAGGAGTGCGTCTCCTCCGGCTGGTCCACGCGGTACAGGAGCTCGGCGGGCGAGAAGTAGCCCAGGTACTCCACGGCGTCGGGCGTGGTGTCGTGGTGGTAGTGGCCGCCCTCCCCGTGGTGGCTGAAGAAGTGCGTGTGCTCCAGGCGCAGGTCGAAGCCCTGGGATTTTTCAGGAGAGAGTCCATTTGGGTCCATCCAAGACTCCAAAAGCGCAGAGGCCCTCCCGCGGGGCCTCTCCCTCCCTCTACCCTCCCTCCTGCACACCTTCTACCCGATGGCAGCATGAGCAGTTTCTCCTGTATCTTCCCAGAAACACCTGCTTTACTTTTTTATTCGCTCAGGAACACCCCGTACGTGCCGTGCTGCCCAAGTCGGCATGCGCACGCAGACACACGCACACTCAGGAGGAAACTCCAGTCCTGTGATCCCTGGGTCGAAAGTTATTGCTAGTATTTTGGTAGATGTTGCTCCCAATATATGTTATATATTTTTTAAGCTTCAGCATCAGAACACTTAGTTTTGATTCTGTTTAGTACCATGATTGTTGTTGGCGCCTGCATTTATTGCAGGCAAAATCTGCTTGCCCAGCGGGTAGCCAGCACCCGTCTCCTTTGTCTTTCAAGGTAAGTCTCAAGCTGACTGTTGTTCTCATGGGACACGATGCCCGATCCTTGGGGCCGTGGGGCTGAGCATGCTGCACTCAGCGCCAGCGGCAGCGACTCACCGGGTCCCGGGACACGAACACTGGCAGGCACACCAGGGGCGCCGCCATCTCGTAGAAGCGCAGCCACGTGTTCACCTCCTCGTCGGACTTCAGCGGGCAGGAGGAGAACTCTGCGGGCTGCAGCGAGAGACGGTCACTGGGTGGCCTCAGAAGTCACAGAGGACCACGCTTTTCAATCAGTTTCATCGAGTCTAAAATGCTACTAAGCCTGGGCCTCCCCGGTGGCGCAGCGGTTGAGCGCTGGGTTGCGAAGCTGCCCGCAGCCTCTGCAGCGCCGGTTCGATCCCCGGCTGCTCCCCGGCCACCGGAGGAGGGTCCCGCATGGCGCGCAGACCTCTCCTGCCGCCCGCTGCTCCCCTCAGCAGTGTCCTTCGGCCCTTCTGCCTGCTCTGCTCCCCGCTCTGGCTCTGGGGAATTCTCTCACCCTCCCGCGCTTCTGACTGTACCCAGTGCTTGTATAAATAAATAAAAGAAATAATAAATCTTTAAAACAAAACAAAAACGTTACTAAGCCTTTTTATACTTGCTCTTCACTGTTTCTGGCAGCAAAAGAAATTATGTGCCCTTGTTTCAGAAGGTCAGTGTCCGCTGTTGAGACACTGAATCAAGGCGGAGTGGGTTAGGGGGAGGCCGCTGCTGCCCTTCACGTCTCAGAGCCCGCAGCCTTCCTGTGCCCATCCTCACGCTCATCCTAAACCTCATGCCACTGCAGGCGGATGGAGGGGGAAGCCAAGATATTGAAAACATCAGACACAACTATAGGGGGATTATCCTCATCCCGGAGTCACAGGCCTGTACACAGAGAACCAGAGCGCACTGCTGGACGGGCACACGGAAGGACTACAGCTCACGAAAGGCATCCCGTGGGCCTGCACTTGCTCACACCCCGCCCGTGGGGGCCAGTACCACCAACTGTGACACAAAGATTCGCAGGAACAGAAAACGCCACTCCAAAATTGATAAGGAATCTCCAGGGGCCCAGAAGAGCCAGAACACTCTTGAAAAGGAAGAAGGTCGGCGGCCTCAGCCTTCTCGCTGCCAGCCACCCCGCGGGGCCGCAGTGCCCGACGCAGGGACCTGCAGAGGCCAACACAATGGACCAGGGGTCCTAGAACTAAGCCTTAGCAGATAAGATCAAGTGATTTTCTTTTCTGTTTTTCTTTTTTGATCAAATGCGATCCGCTGAGGGCCCAAGATCACACAGTGGGGAGGAGTCTCACCCGCAGATGCTGCCGGGAAAGCGCATGTTCACGCGCGGAAGAACAAGGCCAGACCCTCACTTTACACCACGCAGATACTAGCGCGGAGCAGATCACAGAGCTGGATGTAAGAGCTACGGCTGTCACGTTCTCAGAAGACAGCACGGGGAGATGATTTGATCAGAATCTCTCGGACATGACACGAACCGTCCAGGTAACAGAGGGAGAATAAGCCAGTGGGGCTACGTCAACCTGAAAGGCTGCTCTGCAAAGACCTTCAGCAAACGGGAGGCAGCGTGTGGGAGCGAGGGCTGCGTAGCCCGTGGCCTGTGAAGAGGCCAAAGGGGACAAGGGACCGAGGCAAGGTGACGGCCGAGGAAACAGGCCTGTTGAGAAATGGCCGGAACTGGGGCCGACACGTCTCCGAGGGAGACATGGAGTGGCCAAAAGGCATGAAGGAAAGCGCTCCCTGCCACGCGTCACCAGGAGGAGGCAGCCCAACCCCGACACGGGGCCTCATCCTAAGAGGACGCTGTTACCGAGAAGAAACGAGCTCTGCCGAGGGACGCTGGCAGGAAAGTGAAGTGAGGCCATTCCTGTGGAAAACACCCCCGTGAGATCCAGCGTCCCCGGGGAACGAAGGCCAA